ACATCCCGCACACCCGCCGCCCCCCGCGCTACTCCTGTGCTAGTGCCAGTGCGCGCCAGACCCCAGTCCCGTGCCTAGTGTCGGGCGAGGGAGTTTTCGTAAAATTCTTTCTTACATCGCAAAAAAGAAAATCCGGAAGGAAAAGAAATGCTGGCGGGGGGGGGGGGGAGGCTGCTCTGTGCTCAAAGGGGTGCGTGGGTGGCAGACAAACAAAGCCCAGCCACCAGCCAGCGACGGCAAGCAAGCGAGCGCCGCGACGTGTTCGCCGTGACAGTGTGTCTCGCGCCTTGCGCGCGCCGCGGTCCGGGGAGGAGGGGGATGGGGGGGGGGGAGGTCCGAACATCCTGCTCACTCCTGTCCCGGAATATGGGGTAGGTAGGCTGGAAAGGTGGACCGGACCTGCCGGCCGTGTGTTCCCGCTCAACTGGACGGAACGAAAGTCGGCGGGCAGGTCACGTGGGGTCCCGTATTGCAATACGACCGATAGAAAGAATTTTTCGTCGTAGGACAAAGAATTTGACGAAAAACAACAATCCCCAAGAATTTCCAGGGCGTCGCCGTGCTGTGTCTGGGGTCTACTAACTCCCAGTAGAGGGGGCGTTCCCCTGCTAGGGGAAACCCGGAGCGCAGAGCCAACCCTCGGAGAACCGTGTTTACTTTACGGCCCTTTCCCTGCGAACGCGCACCCCCCAGGGCTAGGGCTCTCTAGCCCGTAACCCGAATCCCGATCATCTGCGATCTGGCCCGCTGGGTGTGCTTCTTAGCTCCCCGGCCCTTGGATGTGAGGCTGATAACTGCACTCCAAGTGGTTCCTTCGGCTCCTACCCAGATAGGGGGTCTGTGGCCTATGACTCGCACCCAAAACGCCCTACCTACCTACCTATTGCGGGCGCCAATCGCCAGGCTCCGTGCCCCACCTACCTACCCACCCACCGCGGGCGCCGCACCCGTCTCGGCTGGCGTCCCAGCCGCAGGCGACTCGCCTGGCATGGCCCCGTTCGCGGCTAGCGCGTCTCCCGCGCGAGCGAAGCGGTTTTTTACCCCCCCCCCCCCACCACCTACCTACCTATTGCGGGGCCCTCTGGGGCGGTCAAAACCGGACCTACCTACCTATTGCATGGGGTCTAACCCAGGGCTCCAGGCCCCAAATGACGTGTGAGTGTTAGAGTTCATGTTTGGTATTGCTAAAAATCCCTCTCTCAGAGGGATGTTGACATACGCGGCTACGCGTTGTGGGCGCTATCTAGGGGAACATCATGCCCCATCCCGATGCGTGGGCGTGTATGTCACGCGGTACTATGTTTGTTGGCCAAGTAGGCGGCTGCACGTGTGGGGCGCGAGTACCGCTGTATATACGCGTTCTGCACGTGTGGCCGCGTATCTTGGCTAAGATACGCGCCGGCACAGAAACACGTATCAGGCCCCGGGGGCCCCGCCGACCGAGCTCGATGAACGCCAGCGGGTGAGGGCGGCTATTCTCCCCCGAGGTGGCAGGCGAGGATACTGGGCTGGGCTTTTAGGCATTGTGGGGTTGGCACTCCCATCGACCCTCATGACCTCCTGCGGTCTCTGAGATGGACACCAGTGGGTGTGGGACCACAACCAGGATACACTCGAAGGCTGGGTAAGCAGTAGAGGTCGATACTCGACGCGTCCCACATGGTCTGTGTCGCTGTCGGCACGCTGTCGACAGGACGTCAAGCGACACCGGTGGCAGTGCCACCCAGGAGTGGTCGGGCGGTCTTCCGTCATGAGAGAGCCACCATGTGATCCGTATGATGATTCCTGACAACCGCCTCAGTCAACTTTCGTCACAGTTCCCGCTCTGAGAGGAGCTGCGGGTCAGCTCGACAGCTGGAGCTGTGTCGCCGGCGTGCGGCGGCCTGCCTCCGGAGGTGCCTCTGAGGTGGACATTTTTTGGTCACCGTGAGAGAACGCGTTCGAATTTTCACTCCGGAACTTCAACTCTGCACGCGCACCGGCCAGGGCTACAATAGTGCCAGTGAGGCGGCCTGGTGAGGCGGAGGCGCGAGTCGGAAGGCCGCGACCGTCAAGTGTTCCCATTTTCCTTCCTACAATCGCTGTGAACCCAGCCACGTACGCAGCCCCTCGTGTCGCGCGCGTAAGTCCCGGTTGCCGTGCGCGCCAGCGCGTGTGGCCGCGTACCTTAGCTCAGACGATACGCGCACAGTCCGACCAACGACTGGGACACCAACGCGGTATGGGTGGCGCACAGACCCCCTATCTGGGTAACCCTGTCGTGTCGTGCCCCGGGGCGCTCGGCAAGAGGGATATGCTAGCCCCGGCGAGTGTCACTCTCTGCTTGCACACCTGGGTAGCGTCCACCGCTCGCCTCTCCAGGTCGTCCGCCGTTGCCACGGCGACGGCAAGCTCCGTCGGCCTGCAGTTCTCCGACGCTGGAAGCTGGCCCGCGACTTCGCAGACGCCATTCGTGGTGCTGCACGGGCTGCTCGGCGCCGGCAGCAACTTCCAGACCTGGGCGGCGCGCCTCGGTGACGACTGCGCCGCCAAGGGCGCTGCGCGGCGCGTGCTGCTCGTAGACCTGCGCAACCACGGCTCGAGCGACAAGGCGGCGACGATGTCGTTCGTCGAGATGGCGGCGGACGTGCGGCGGCTGCTCGACGAGCAGGGCATCCCGAAGGCCATCCTCTGCGGTCACTCGCTCGGCGGGAAGGTCCGAGACACTTCCGAGACCCTTCCGAGACACTTTCGACAAGCGCGCGGCCACTCTCGCTCCACCGCCAACACCTCTGACCTGCAAGGTTGCGATGGCGCTCGCGCTGCAGTCGCCGGAGCGCGTCGAGCGGCTGGTCGTGCTCGACATGGCGCCGGTGACGTACGAGACGGGCGAGAGTTGAGCCGAGATTGGGCCGAGATTGAGCCGATCAGCCGAGATGTCACTGAGAGAGCCGAGCCGTCACGTAGCGCCGGTGACGCTGCGGGCGCGGGAGGCCGTGGGCGGAGGGTGGGAATGCCCCTTCACCAATCAGCAGTTCGCGAGTAGGCGAGGGCAGTCCGTGGGCGGAGAATGTGCGCATCATCGGCGACCTCCTCGCCATCGACCTGCAGGCGAGATCACGCCGAGATCA